AGTACATAAATAAATATCTTCCACATAATATCAAAAGAGAAATGACCAAATAATATGAACAAAAGTACTGCTACAGTATAGTTGAGTTGTTCAACTTCATCCTCGCGATGTGGATCGACTACAGTGTACTGTACTGAATCTGAAAATCGCTGAGAGTGAGTGGATGGTCGACTGACTGACACTAATAGCGAACTGCGTACGAAGGCAGCTTAGAAAGGAAGAGACCGGCACGAAAAGAATTTACGGTATGTTCAGATGGAGCATCACGCTTTCGGTTAGGCCTATGTGAAGTGTCAGGCAATACAGGACTTTCTCTTATGTAAATATTCACTTGTCTTGTCCTGTCTTATTTTGTTTTGTTTTGGGGATTGCTGGCCATTTCGCCTTTTGGCTATTTCGGCCGTTCAAACATTCACGGTAGTTCTCAGGTTAGTTTTCTTCACGTGTTCTCGAAGTTACTGTACAGCTTTTACATTACGTAAGTTCCCATACCCATACGAAAACAATTTATACGGTCAGCGAATCGGTAATAATAATAATAATAATAATAATAATAATAATAATAATAATAATAATAATAATAATAACTAAACGTCAATTTCAAAATAATAAACACTGACCCTACATCGAAGCAATGATAAAATCAATCAAAAGGGAAGTACTAAAAATACCATTTAAATTAGATTATCAATAGTAAAACTCCCAATTAAGTTTCTATCTAGTAAGGGATAGGTATTATATATGTCGCATAAATTTATGTGCAGACACCGAGACGCCCACTGAATTCCTATTGAGAACAGGAGGAAGGGGGCAACACTGATTTAATTAGACTACCCTGTAGAGATAAACTTAAAATGATCAGCTAATCTCTACAAAAGCTTAAAAACGTTCAAAACCAGACTCTGCGTACATGTCCCATAGGTGATTAATGATAGAGGAACAGATAAACCAAAATATGAGGTAGATGGGAAGCCAGGACCATCACTAGTGCGGAGGGAGGAGGGAGGGAGGTGCGTGGGACAAAGCGAACAAGAAGCATCATGGACAACAGCTGGCAGCAGCGTCGGCTGAGCACCAGTCCCTGTTCTGATTACAACTTTAACCTAAACCTACTTGCTCTCCACCCTCACCCACCAAAGCAGCGACCCTTCTCCATGCCTCTTCAAATATTTACTTTTGTTTCTCTTAAACCATGGCCTCTATATCAATTTTTATTTTTTCCTGTCTGGCAAGAGTATTACATCACCCATATTTCAAGTCATGAGGGTACGTGGGACCCCAGGGCCCCGGCCTGCCCAGGCGGCCCAGCAGGTTCCCGTGTGTCAATATCAAGCTTAGCACCTCCCTACTACTGCCTGTCTTGTTTTTCCGACGCACAATGACCACACGCCTCTTCACTATGAAGATTGGCTTACTTCCTTATTATACCTAACTCCCTCCCCACTAACAAGATTCCCATCTACCCCTCCCCTCCCCCGTCACACCATCTCCCCACGGCTGCCAACACCCCCTCCCCCTCACCTCCTTGCCCCCACCCACGGCCGCTCAAGATAGATATGACGTAATGAGGAAGGGGACCCCACATGACCACAACAAACACCACAACACTGATAATGGTGTTGGTAACCACGCCCCCATGTGACCTGTTATCTACATAATCAGGAGAGTGTGGGGTAAGTGTGAGCAGCGTGCGTTGCCATACGGCCAGCAAGGTGGAGCGACGTCATGGTCGCTAAAAATAACCATGATGTCACCACGGTCGCCACCACCACCGCCAGCAGCAACACACCGCGCACCACCCCGCTCTCCCTTCACACACACACACGTACTCACGCCTCGACTCCCACAGTCATGCTGCGTTTCCCATGAAAACTACACATATAATTTATAAGCGGTGCGATAATTTGCAGAATCATTGGTTCTGTCACTTCTAAATCCGTATATATGAATATCATCTCATGTAATTAACTTTCATCGGTCAATGGCTGCAACTTTGTAAGTAATTTTTGTATATGACATTAAAACTGTTAAAAGTATATACAGCAATGCATTGTACTTATGCTCAGATCTTGACACTTTATCTAATATATAAGATTATTTGAAGTATTTGATAACACTAATCCATAAGTTGGTACAGGTATACTGGATTAAAAATAAAATACTTCGGTTGTCATACCACACTTAGTGATGAGAGACAATATATATATAATATATATATATATATATATATATATATATATATATATATATATATATATATATATATATATATCCCTTTCATTATACAGTAGTCTATACATATAATTCTTATTTGTCTCAACACATTAAGAGATAAATATTCCTTTCACTTTCATGACCTGACCTGACCTGGCTAGATTGTTGGCAGACAAAAACTATCCTCCTTACTGCAGCATATTAATAATCTAAATGAAGTGACAGAATGGCTTTGGTGCTGTGATATACAGTACAGTACAAAGAAACTTCAACACTGAACACTGAAGGTGATACATCAGACTACAGTATACATACTGTAGGTACTGTACTAAAATCTGCTGTATACTTGTAAACAACATGCAGCCTATTCAGGTCTAAAACCTCTTACCCAGTGAAAAACGATAACTTTATTCCAAGTAAAAAAGGACAAAGGGGCTATACAGCACAAGGCATATTCATAAAATTTTACAACCTTCCCAGGTAGAGATTTACCATTAGTACTATGATTAAAAAAATATATAGTAAATCTGCTTCACACACACACACACACTCTCTCTGTCTCTAGTCAAATTACTGTATAATGAAATACCAAGTTCAAGTCTGTTTCTTAAATGAATGTAGCCTATTTGCACGCACCAGTCTATCTATATCTCTGGCGTAAGTACAGTACACCATTTACAACACAGTACAACTCGTTTCATCTAGGAGTAAATATATCAATACCAACACTACCCTCAGTGTCAAGACCTGGATGAATCACTCAGAATAGGCACTGTACTCCAAGCTTAGTCAATAAATTTGTTAAACTAAAAAAAAAAATAAAACTCACAGACTAAAGATTCATCCTGAACAGATTATCCAAATACAAAATCACTCAGGATAAGATACCTTCAATTTTTTGGCAACTCATTCTGGCTCACACAAGGGGGTAAATATTTTAAAACACATCCCTGAAAATATGTGAGGCCATTAGTTTTCTTCTTTACTATTACCCATTTTGACAACTAGGGCAAACTTTATAATATTCTGGGCAAAGATATATTTTAAGCTCAATCACTATGCTTTTCACATAGAGAAACTTCAGTAATATACTACCATGATGTTCTCAACAAATGGTAATCTTTTTGAGTATCTGTGATTGTAAGATATTCTCCATTGTATAAATCTCTCTATAAACAATTGACAAAAGTACATTTCATTACAGAAAAATCAAATTAGCTTTACCTGATATTCAATCTTTCCAGAAAATTTCAAGTAGATGGCCACAACAATTTGCTCTTAAAAATTACCACTTGTAAACCTATAAGAAAATGTACCCAATAAACTTACTTCTTTGCATTATCCTTGTATGTGTAAGTTTGAAGACATTCTATCTGCTTAGTAAAATTTAATTTAATATTACAGTAGTTTTCTATTAAATCTATAATTATTAGACACAAAGGAATAAGCAAACTGACCAATCAACTGATTAAAATGATTACTACTTCAGTCACCAAGTAGGCCTATACCTGTACAAGCTAAAAAAATTCATCTATATAATAATACTTTACTTTAAAAATAAACTCTTTAAAAATGATAGAGTAATTAATTTAAAGGATAAAGCCTCCAGGACTTTTTCATTCCAAGAACGGTACACTTCTGGTTGTCTCTACTCCTATCACTGCCTCTGAACGCTTGACTTATAAATCTCCACAGTAAAATAGGCAAATACTGTACATAAAGAAGCCCATATGAATATAGTTAATTTTCGTAGAGGTAAGGCAAGTTCTTCAGAGTCTTTTACCAAATTTCATAACGTTTAGCCAGAAAAATATGACAAACTTATAGAGGGAAAATAATTCAAACCAGTTAAAATGGTTCAATAATTTAACGATGAAATATAGCTAAATCTAACATTTCTCGGTGCTACTATAGCGTGCGGTCTGCAACGATACCATTAGTTTAACCTAACCTAACCTGACCTGACCTGACCTGACCTGACCTGACTTAACCTAACCTAACCTAACTTGACTTGACTTAATCTAACCTGGTCTGATCTGATCTGATCTGATCTGACCTAACCTAAATAAATTGTAGATCGCACGCTATAGTAGCACCAATTTTTCTATACACTTTTTTTAGATCTAATGTCACACATTTTTATAATAAGGTTAGTACCGTACTTACTTTGAGTTTACTCCTAGTAGGTGTATGTTAATGAAAACATTTAAAACTCCTACCACCAGTTACTATAATGGCACTTTTATCATGTACATATTCAACAATAATGCTGTGACTTGATTATATTAAAAAAAATCATTAAAAAAAATATCTAAATGTAAACATTTAAGTTGTCCCGAAGGCAGTACTGATATGTTTATGTGAATTAGCATGAAAACATTTCAATAAAAATGTATTCTTAGTATTATAAATATACACAGTATATATTATTTACAGAAGCACCATCAAAACTGTAGACACTGGCTGACTCTCACAGACTCAATGCCCAGGGCACCTTGATCACATGTTTTGAATATTTATCCCAAGAACAGTTGTATTACTTGTGTATTTCCTATACTTATACATCATAAAGTTACCCATGACCATTATGCAGGATAGCTATACATAACAATGCTACTCTATGGAAACAACACACCCGGATTAACAAGTACAAACAGTTGGAGAGAGAGGTCAGAACACAGTGTCTCCATACAATATTGACACTAAAATACTACAACGAGTCTTTGGCACATCACTAGAAGGAAGAAAATGACATACACTTGATATAAAACTAGTAAATGACTTACTATAGGAGATGTACCAGGGCTGTTCACCCTCGCCCAGGGAGACACTTCATTAACCCTCACTGAGACTTGGAACAACGTGACACAGAATACAGTTTATTGTTGAATCTGAATATAAAATAACGTTATATTTATGACTAAAATTAAGTATCTTATATTTATATTTAATTTCAATGAATAGAATTAAATAAAAATTAGTTGTATAGTGTTATAAGGTAAGTTTTAAATGAGGGAGGATTGTTAGTAAAGTGATGTAAACAAACCCTCCGTGTGTCAGCTGTGGTGAGAGACAGCTGTGGTGAGACGGTTGTTCTAGCTGTGGTGTAAGCTCAGATATAGACGTAATTGTTATTTACATTGAGTGTGAAAAGAAGGAATGCTGCCGTCAAATGCACAAGTCACAAGTGTCACTTTATTACTTGGGATAAAACAAGACATGAGAGTCCAAAGGGCCGGTTGGTCTGTGCATGGCAGCTCCTGGAGAGAGTTACTACCACTCTATCATCCATGAATCTCTCTAGCCTCCGTTTAAAACTTTCCAGCGTTCCAGCACTTGTTATAAAGTTGCTAAATTCAATACAGAAACCAACAGCAAAATATGAAGTATATTAACTTTTGCCTCATCGTTTATACTTACATGGAAATTAATCAATAATGGTAAAGCTGATTTAACAGAATGGGAAAGAGGTTATAGTCTTGTGGCTAAACCCTAAAAAATCTTGCAGTGTTCAGTACTGTAGACATACATAATAGGCACAGGTGTCCACTTTTACCAAAGATTTGTATTTGATAAAGTACAATATAAATGGTAATTATTCCGCAAACACCGGCATATGAGTTAGGTATGAACAGAGCAATGAAAGAGAGAGAAAATGTGCGGTTAAAAACGTAACAAAAAGAACCTAACCAAACCTGGTCATTGTAATCAACTACTGTGGAAGAGGATAGGCATGACTCATAAGTTGGTGCGTGCGGAATAATACCATAGAGTACAGTACCTGTATAAGGAGGTACAGTAGTTCGGTAAAGATTTGTTGGTGCTACTATAGCGTACGGTCTACAAAGATATCTTTAGTCTAACCTAACCTTATCTAACCTATGCTAACTTAACCTTAATATCTTGTAGACCAAACACTATACAGTAGTAGCAGTGATTTGTTTAATGCCCAACCCGGGGATTTGATTACGTATTAAAATATTTTTTATAGTGATTTAAAAGAATACGACCTTTATTTTTTAGACTACCTGTGATGCATATTTAATAAGAAATGATCAAGAGTTGCACAAAGTGGGCAAAGCTTTGAAGATAGGGAAACGGGTTCAAAATAAACCTTTGAAAACCTGATTTAAACTTTCCTAACCTAGGAAATTCCTAATCCTGTAAAAAAAAATTAACTCATTTAATCAATGGCTGAGGAAAAGGTGATTATCTTCTTGTTTTGTGCATAATTTGAGGGTTCAGGTCACAAGGGAGCTATAGTGCTAATGAATACCGACATATTTAATTTCTGCTCATGCGTAAATCTCCCAAGAGATACAACTATCCTCTGATTGGTCATGTGAAAGAGATTTGAATATACAGTAATACAGTATTCTGAAAACCTGTACAGTACAGTAAAGCAAATTTAAAATCTATCAATATTGTTGTATCTTGGTCGTGTCCAGATCACATCCATCCACTAAACATAAACACGATTCACTGTATACAAAACCATGTTCACAGTATCAGTGTATGTGGTGGGTTGAAATAAGTTATATGATGAGTTAAGAAATGTTAGGTCAGGGTATCAGAGGTTCTATTGGTGTTATTTTGTTTTGTTTTAACTCCACATTTTCCCTCATATTCAATGCCATGCCCACTTTGGAAGGATTCATTGTACAGGTTAGTTAATAATAAGAGCTGGTCTTTTGTTTCTCAAAAGTGCCAGTTCTAAAGAATTCACGAGCGCTGAAAAAATAAAGTTGCTAGTGTTAAAGGGGTCAGATCTTCATAAATAAACATGAGCCTCAAAATAAAGGTCATATTTATCTTAGAAAAAGCTATTTTAGTAATATTATCCCAGGATGGGCATAAAACAAATCTTTATTGGTAGTTCTAGGGAGTCAGTTGTTTTACTCCTAAAATACAAGACCACGGTGGTAAAGTCTATACTGTATCATCAAAATCTTTCCTATCGAGAAAACCTTCCAAGTTACTTTATGGACTAATGCTCATTAAAAAGGTGACTTGTAGCTCATTTAGGCACAGAATGCCACCATCCTTGCAGTAGGTGAATCAGATTATTAACTTGTTCACTGCGGACCTTTACTTACTTCCGCTCTTTGTCTAGTATTCATTCCGATTGATTGAGGCTCATGACGCTTATCTTAGAATACTGTATTGAGTTCAGTCACTTGCAAACCTAATCTAACCATATTGTACTGTACAGAGTACAGTCCTAACTTAAGCAGTGAAGGAATATTTTCATAGAAATATTTAACATGTTTAATTTGTTGCAGTTTTCTCATAAAGTGTTTGGCAATGTCTAGCAGCACTCTTGTTATATGGATGATACATTTTATATTAATTTTCCACTTTTTAACATATAATTATCTCTCACTCTTTCTAGGTCCCTCATGAAGACAAATGATGGAGCCCTCCTGTATCAGGAGAGAAAGGGGTCAACAGCATGTCAGAAAACCTATGTGTACCAGAAGAGTGCTAAGACATTCATCCCCGTCACTGTGGATGAAAAAGGGTCAGAAAATATACAGATGCTATTAATACAGCCATTGGTTTTTATAAAATATAATTCGTGTGGTCTACATATCCCCATGACATGTGCTGTACTTAGCAACAGGACACAGTATCCATGTGGACACTTTGTATTACTGTACAAGCAACCTTCTCACCCAGTCATTCCAGACTGGAAGTTTTCACAAAAAACAAGTGAGGTATCAGGTTAAGGGTTGAAAACTCTTAGAAAGATCTCCTCCATGTTCAATCCCTAAATGACTATTTTGCTGAATGAATATCTAATGTACTGGTAATATAATTAAAAGGTGTCAGTTTTCTGAAACCCTGCAACACTGATTTGATAATTTCTGAAGTAAGCTATAAAACTCTGATGATGATTTATTATTGTTAATATATATTTTTTAATATAGATTTCTATTTTCATTCTTTAGAAGGAACACTGTAAGCATAAAAGATCACATTGGTGAGTGGCTGAAAGATGTATTCCTTCCCCGGGGGTACCCAGAGTCTGTTTCTCCTGACTACCTCCAGTACCAGATGTGGGATACAATACAGGTCAGTTTTTAAGATTTAATTTCCTATTCCTCTTTTGCTAAAACCCACACTCACATAAGAAATTGTACAGATTGTGATAAAAGATGCTTATTGGAAATGGAATATCTAAAGACATTATCCAGCATTTCACTCCAGTTAATTACGGTACTTCCAAGGAAGATTAGAGATGGTTGCAGAAAAGTGACCACTTGCAGAGAGATTCACAAAAAAGCTCAAAAGAAATTACCAATAAATAAAGCTAATATATCTCGAACTACAGGTTCTCCTTTGTTAGAAACTATTGAATAGTAATCTTAAATGCTTATCCTGGTTATGAATCACATTAAAAAAAATATTTTTGTAAACTAAAAAAAAAAAGCTTCAACCGGAAGTATCAGTCATGTGAGGGACAATAATACACCCTATTTTATTTACCTTATAGCCACCCAAACTAGATATGGTCATGCTGTGGAATGGAAGGCAGTGGCCTGTGTAGGATCCCTCCACTGTTCTTGATGATCTTGTCTTGGCTATTTTGAAGCCTAGTACAGCATTGTTCTTAATTTCACAACTTGAGCTGATAGACTCTTCCATCGATCTCTTACCTTCTGTGCAAAGGAGTATTTCCTTATGTTCCTTCTGCATGATATCTTGGTGAGCTTGAAGTTTTATCATCTTGTGTTGGTGGTGCATGACATCACAAAAAAATGGCCTGGATTAAAGTTTCCCATCCCTTCCAAGATTTAGAATGTCTTAATGAGATCTGCCCTATTGTGTCTTGTCCGAAGAGTAATTTTTAAATTTATTCAGGCCTACTGCAGCAGCATTGCTGGGGCATTAAGCCTGCAGGCCACCTTGACTGGTTTAGGGGTGGGAGAAGAAGCTGCTACACCCCTGGCAGCAACTCTCACATGGCTGCTGAAGGATGGATCAGGGATGGTGGCTTCTATTGCCTTTGCCCACTGGAGAGGGTTAGTTGCACAAAAGAATTTTAATTCTTCTTTCCAATGTCCACAACAACAACCATCACCACTACCAACACTACTGCCAATACCACTAACAATTAGCACCACCACAACAACAACCAACACCAATATTATCGATATCACCAGCAGCACTACTAACAACTTCAACAACACTACCATCATAAACACAGCCACAATCACCACCATAAACACAGCCACAACCACTAGTAAATAACCAGCTGATGTCTTGTACAGTAGTCACCTCCCAGATAAAAGACGCACGTTTAAGTAAATGTATCTGCAGGTGAACTATGTTGTCTTCAGATATCTCTTGTCACACTTATCCATCCAAGTACAGTTACCAAGTTAGTATTTCCTGTATGTTTTTATAATGCAAGTTTATGGTAATATATAGTACAGTACAGTATTTGTTATTTGTTGCAGATCACAGTTGGATTGTAATAGCAAGCAATGGCGTCTCTTTGCTGATGTGGCCAATGATTTGGGGCATCTCTTAAAGTTGCTGGGTCCTCTGCTGCCAGTGCCATTTTTGGCTGTTATGTGTGTCTCAGCAGTGATGATGGCTCTTGTAGGAGTGGCTGGTGGAGGAACACGAGCAGCTCTTACTTCACATCAGGTAGTGTCTCAGTTGGCATCACACCCCCCAAACAGTTGAGAGGGTCTTGGTACTAGAGCAACATGTACAGTCTCGTTCAAGATTCTTCGAGCACTGCTGGAGACAGCTGGCAACTCAAGGCCGTTTGTTTACTATAGTACGTAGTAAAAATTATGAATAAATGTAAAAGTGATCAGTGATTGGTTACTTAGTTCCCCGTTGCTTAATTATTCGTTGGACTTTTACATTCATTCATAATTTTTACTACTTACTATAGTAAACAAACGGCCTTGAGTTGCCAGCTGTCTCAAGCAGTGTTCGAAGAATCTTGAACGAGACTGTGCATGCATCTTGTCTTGGGTGTCATCACCTACTGGAATTTCTTGGGCCAGTCTCAGTCCAGCCATCTCCCCTTAAGAAGCTGTTCATTTTCTGGAGAGCTTTGGTTCATAACAGAGCTAAGTACGTACAGCAATTCTTACGAGTACCTGTACTTGTAAGTAAAGAAGTAACAGAATGATTCAATCTTGGGAGGCCCCCCCCCACCCCCCCCCAAAAAAAATTTTTGTTGGGATGGAATTTGTCAGCTTCTTCGGTGATGGAAATTCATATTCCCAATTTTAAGAATAATAACATGTCTGCTATTTATAAATAGCCTATACCACATTAGAGGCTTTTGTCATAGATTTGTCTTCGCAAGTCATTTAAAAACTTGTTCTCAGGTTCCTAGAGAAATGGAAACCTGGTTGGGGGAAAACTGGAATTGACATCCATTAAAATATTTGCCTGGTTAACATTGGCATCAGATAACTGGGTTTCAGAGATTCTTGCTCATGGAAGTATTATATTTGTGAACCTTGGACTATCTCTCTTAGTTGGGAGAGCCATTGGCAGTCATGAAGTCTTATCAAAGAATGAGACTTAGTTTTAGACCAGAATTTACCACTGTACTTGTTGACATGAAAAACTTGATGATGTAATTCATCATTTTTTTCACTGTATTTGGCTGAGAAGTTGATACAGTAAGGGAAGGTTTGTATTTGCATGTGCAAGCTGGTGTGGCACTTAACTTGTTTAGCTTTCAACCAAGTGGTAAACCTCCACCTCCTAGACCTCTCTCTGAGAGTTAGGGTTGCAGTGGGAGAGTTTTACTCATCGTTTAATCACAGCTGGCCCCTTGGTGTCAAAGGCAAGCCTGTAGACCAGATGAATAAATTTACAAATCTCCTATTCTCAATTAGACGATTACAAAATGGGACTCCCAGGATCAGTCATTGATATACCGTACTGTATTTATATTTTTTCACATTTTGTGGTCACAAGTCTAAAAATTATTCTATATAGAGTGAGATGTATATGTTGTGACAGGCTCGTCGAGATAACATGGCAGATGTGTCAGCTAAGGATGGCAGCCAGGAGACTGTGGTCAATCTCATTGCCCTCTTCACCTCCCTCACAATACTACCCATTATCACTTCAAGTTTTATGTGAGTATTACCTATACTGTATTTAAATTTAATGTTAAGAGTCAAAATTTTATGGACTTAATGTTATTCAGCAAGTGAAATAGAGGATTCCTTCACTAGAGCATCCCAGTACAGTACTGTATTAGGTATCAGAGCCATATGTGTTGAATCAGTGCAAATTGCTGCAGAGAAGTTATTTGTGCAAATTAAATACTGTGTTTTAAAACGAACTACCCAACCTTAGCTCAGTGGTTGCTTTGAAAGCAGGCAAGCCATAAAGTACACTAACCTCAGTGTTAAGAACTATGTATTTATGTGCATTTTGGCCTATAATTTAGGATTAGATATTTGGGGACAGGGATCATTTCATTATTTATTTGAGTTTAAGATTTTGACCACTGTACTAGTACACTTGTTCTGAAAAATAGGCAAAGGCCTTGCATATACAGTACAGTACTGGTAATGTCTCTGTAATTCCTACCCAGTTATAGAGCTAAACACGAACTACTTACAGGTTGACATGGATGACCTTCGTCCTGTGTGTCGTGTTCCACCTTTTAGCCAACTATTGGGCGGTGCGAGCTGTCAAAATGGAGAGCTTGAATCGTCCTCGTCTTCTTTATGTCCTCCACCATTGGTTCACTGGAGCTGCTGTGCCAGGAATAGAAGAAACAAATCTCTCTGAACCTTTGTTATTTGGAGCAGCATTTATTCCTAGTTAGTAGACTGAGTTAATCTCATAAACTGCATCACATAATTTTTAAGTGTTTTCTTGCTTGATGCAGTATGACCAGAAACATGAGTACTTGTATATCACATAACCTCCTAACATTCCTTTTCCCCTAATAGGTATAGCAGACATGTTCTGCTGGAATATTCTTCTTCCACAACACAACCCAAATATTTCCATCAGGTTTTTCCATGTACAGTAGCTTCATACAAAGCAGCAGCATCCAACAGCAGTGTTCCCAAATCCATATACCACCCAATATAATGTTCTCTGATCATGCACACACACACACCATTGCTTCCTGGATGTGATACCTACCTCCATATTCTTTTTGATTATCTTCCTCTCTCTTCCATCATTCTCATTCTCTTAATATGCCTTACTACTTTAACAAATCTTGATTCACCCTCTGTCTGACACCCATTACATTTCCACATCTCCCTTTTATTTCCATGTTTCATACTCTCTGTATCCTTTGTTCCTTTGAAGCAATTATTTCCATTATTTCAACGTACTTCTTCCTCTCACATGCTTACTTTACCAATAAACAGGTGGTAACCATTTATGTAAGCTATGTGCACCCTTCATGAAATTATATTACTGTATCATATGTGACATTTTGCCCCGTCAGTTCAGTGCTGAAGAAAGCCATCGAAAGAATCAACAATAATTACCTTACCAAAATATTCCATCACAGCTCATTCACTGGAAAATCTTATCAGTTTTATATTCTATGGATACAGTACAGTATAGTACAGTAATTCCATAATGATACTATTGTATATAAATAGCATACCAGAGTAATGTATACAAAATGTTTAATAAAAAAGAAAGTTATTTGCTTTTATGCTACTAAACTGTTTGAAATTTTTTCTAAATTATAGATACACAATAGACATTGGAATAGACATTGGATATTTTGTTCCAGATTATTTCCCTTATGGCTTCCGCACAATGCTTGGTTGTTCATTTCACTGGGCTCTGGAGTGCTGTAGAAGTAATGAAGATGTTATGACTCTCTACTCATCAACGATGGATACATTTACACAGGAAAACTACCTTGTAGGTTCAAGGACTGTTTATCTTCTACTGTATATTAGAGGTCAAGAGCTTAGAATTATTATCAAGTGCTGTAGTTTCTTATTGGCTCAGCTGACCTTGTTTGACCTTTGTAGTTAATTTGTGACACTATTACCAAATGGCATTGCAAAATTCTGTACAGGTATATATTATTTTTTTTTAATTTACCCGGTATTCCTCACATTTACTGGTACAGGCACAGTATAGTATATTATTTTATGTATACAAAGAATAGCTCTTTCCACACACAAACCATCCTCTGGGCGACGTGACACAGTTCAGCCACTCAGCTGGGCAGTCACCGGGGGCTGGCAGAGCCTCCCACACATCCTGTTTGGGTCACACGTGTTACGCCATTCCGATATTGCGTCATCATATCTCGGAATATTTTGAGTTACCGGTACCCAGTACATTATGTAAAGAAACAATGTAAAAAATAATTCAAAAATAATTTACAGTTGATTATTTTACTGTCATTCCGAGTTACCGGGTATATCAAATCATAGGGTTATCAGGGTTTAGATTTGGTAAGAATATAATCTTGTGTGTAATAAAACAACATATAAGTTTATTCTAAGTTGGTAATCTTTGATTATCTCGGGGAATAGTGACCCTGCTCTGCTAACTAAGAGGGTGCTTGGAAGAATTCCATGTACTGTACTGTACTGTATAATGACCAATTCCCTCTCTGTAAAAGTGGTTTGGTGAAAGGGCATACAGCCATAAAACTAACTTCAAATTTGCCTGATGGCAACAGGGACACCTTGACATCAGGTAAATACAGCTAACCCAAGCAAGTAGGGAAAATGGCCATAAAATGATGTTGATGATAATGATGGTGAAACTGCTGTGTACAGTATCACCATAAAGAGCACTTAATTCTTTTTCCAAGGTTATTTTGCCATTGATAAATTCACAGCTCTTCTGAATGGGTAAAGGGTTCCCCAAACTATGGATTTAATTTTCTGATTGAAAAGGTACCGGGTAATGAATTTCAGAGAAGAGATTTTCTCCATTCTTCATTTATTGTACAGTACTGTACTCTATTCTATTCTGGAAATACAAGAAACCTTTCATCTTTCTCATTCATTCACTTTTTGCGCATGGGATTTAAACATCTTCCTTCAGGTAGTTGGATTATTCTCATGCCGTACTTCTTTAATTCGAGGGACTCGTGAATTGTGGTTCTAGGACAGTTCATTACTTAACATTTCATTCCCAGACATATTCATTATGAGGGTATTTTGCTACCAGGTTAATACGCTACTTGAGATTTTTAGCCCAAGATTTTATTGTATTGTTAGTACCTGTAACATGCTTGTTTGTTTTGTTTGCATTCGTATATGTATTTTCTCATAATGTTTCACATTATGTTGTTTATTGTTAACAGTAAAACATTACAATACAAAATATTAACAAAAGATGTTATATCTTAAGCCAAAGACCATTTTGTTTGTTTACATACAAACTACAAACACAGTGGCAGACTCATAAATGACTCATTATAGCTTGACAACTATTCAAGGCAATTAGAGCAGACTGGAGATGGTTCAAAGCAATGTTGGATATGCGAAAATCAATCATGTATGGCCCGGATACACACTTATACAGACGGCGAAGAACACAACAACATTAAAATGTTGGTGAGCAGAATCACAGTCCTACTACATCTGCAAAATGAAGGCAAAATCAGCATTATGTAAAATCAAAGTGAAATCTGTTTCCACAAAAGATTTTCCTCGAACTATTGCATGAAGCAAAGCAACAAATTTGAATGACTGTGCATTGGCAGAATTAGCGTGAATCTCTTTCTTGAGTTGCAGGATCAGACTTTGGAGACTGGTAGAAGATAGTTCCCCAGGGACAACACAGTTATGCCATTCCTGATCATTATTGCAAGCTTGACTGTGGCTTTAAGTTTCTACAGTCTGATAGCGGGGAGGATGATACCAAACGAATTTTAATATTTGCAACAGACACAAGTCTTGATGACATTAAAAAGGCAAAGAGCTGGGCTGTAAATGTTACTTCGGCGCATCACCCTATCTCACCCAGTCAGAGCTGGAGGGAGAGCCACCCTCTGGGTCTCAGTGACTTGCCACCCTCTGGGTCTCAGTGACTTGCCACCCTCCTCCTTTCCACTACCTACCACACACTCGCTCCACCTCTGCCCATCAGTGAGTACAATACAAAGTGATTTAGTTTATTTATCTTTTTAGATGTATAATATATACTATTTTTTTCAAAAAATTCCTTGAATTTATGTATATGTAATGTATTTCATGGGGCAAAGGGAGGCTGGGGAACATAACTCCCATATTTTATCTATTTCTTATGGGGAAAATTTATTCCGTTAACGTCACGATTTTCAGGAACCGAACCACGACTTTAAGCGAGGACATACTGTACAGTACTATAAACTGTACACCCTGCACATTCAAGACAACAACATCAGTGTTCCGCAAATGTTTGCTTTGCTTCCTGACAAGATTCAAGACAGTTACAATTGACTTTTTACCAAACTAAAAGAAATGTTGCATAACACAGATGCTGCTAAAATGATGATGGAATTTGAAAAGTCAGACATCATTAGTTTCTTGGACATACCGTACTTTTACACAATGCTACAATACTGTAGGTGTGAAGCAACGATACCACAAGATGATGAATTCAGCCTCAAACTCAGATGTTTCCCTGCACTTGCTTTCCTCCCACTTGATGATGTCATGGAAGGCTTTACAGAGCTCATTGATGATGATGATCTTCCAAGAGAATTATTTTCTTACATGGAAACCTATTACTGTATACTGGAGGAGAGTGAGGTCATGGTCAACGGAGAAAAAGAATCGAACCAACTTTTCCCATTGGTTCCTGGAATGTCTATGCAAGGACTAAAAATGGTATGCCAAGTACAAATCCTAACATTGAAGAGTTTCACAATGCACTCCGAAGTTTTGTAACAAATGTCCATTCCAACATTTCAACCCTGATAAATATTCTGAAAAGTAGGACAAAAATGGCTCATTGTAACCATAGAGTCACTGTTACTAAAAAGAAATAGTACAGTACCTGTACAGACAAACAAATCAATGTATAAGAGGTTGCTACAAGCTTATGACCAGCAAATAAACTCCACTTTGTGAAATTGCTCACAGCCTGAATCATTTTTAAGAAGTTCAAATCCTTCATCATTTAAAATAAAATATTTTACAACATAAAAACCTTTTAATTTTGAATGAATTGTTTTACAACAAGAATATTTCTCTATTAACCTTAAATTTAAGAAAATTTTTGTACTTTCATTCATTTTTACTTTAACTGAAGTGTTTGTCTAATGAAATAGCCTGTACAGTACTGTAATATTGCCAAAATAATTTTATTTTATGATTGTGAATAAGACATTTAATAGGGATTATGGCATAAATGTCAAAGGTAGCAAAATAGCCTAATAATGAAAAGACCGTAACAAAATAACTGGGAATGAGATGTCTAGTAGCAAACTGTCCAGCCACCATGTACTGTAGTCCTCTTGTCTGAGAACATGTACCGGGGTATTATTCTGATCGAGATTCCTGGACTTAAATACATACAGTACCCTGTTCAGGTAGGTACTTAGATCTTGCAGTATCAGGAAAGGCAATACAGTATACTGCATAATTTTTTACTCTGGTTTACTGATAATTGTTTTGGGATTCAATGTGCCTGTTTTGACCTTCCAGTTGTGTACCAGCCTGAAACGCAGACAAATTTACATAATTTACCGACCAGGGATTACAGCACAAGAAGAACTTGAGGCAGTTTTTATGGCATATTTATATGTCCTTAACTCCAACCATATTTCAGAGGTAATAGCCACTTTGTACAGAAATACCAGTAGCTGTGAAAATTTGTAAAGTTTTACTGATTAAGTATACTTATATACAGTAGGCTCTCACCAATAACGTTTAGTAGGTGCCTGAAAAACACCGTTATTAGCGAAAACGTTATTTGTGTGACATTAAAATACATGTAAAAAGGGTTTATTGGTGCCGCTGCCACAAGAATTTCACCCATTTTTTCCCCTTGAAGCCCTCCTAACACTTTTTGTCAGCTGAAATAAAAAGAATTGCTATTCAGTCATCAAAATAAAGAGTTTGAGTAATATAACACTTAGTTTTTGAGGTGCTTGGTGTGATGATTGTTCCGTATCAAAGGGCCGCTAACACTTGCACTGTCTTTCATTCTACAAGCTAACCATTTCACAAGAAAATGCTCTGTTATCACTAACAACCTGTTTCTATCGCCTTTATCATTCATAGCTCGCCTCGCATTTCCATCACTCCCGAAATATTTTTAGCCAGCACAATACTCTTCTTGGTCTCCTCTAAGTTCCTCTTAATACTTTGCACTGTAGACTCAGGACAGTTCAATTTCCTCACTTTAAAAGTTCCCAGTCATTCAGGTGGCAAATCACTCCCTCCACCACCTCCCCTAGCCCCCACAGGCAAAAATGCGGAAGCCATTATTGATCACCGACCCTAACAACCACTGGTTATAGTGGTGAAAATCTCACACGTGGGCGCAGCGCTGTATTCCACTGAGCGTGTGTAAGAGTGAGGCGGAGTGGACAACTACGTCATCAACATGGCGGCAAACAAATGCTATCATTGATGCGCTCGGACTCTTCCCGCGAAATTTCCGTTATTCAAGAGAATCTAGACGTTATTATCGAAAATGAGTATCTATTGTAACTTACCGTTATTGTGGAAGTCGTTATTGGCGAGAGCCTACTGTACAAAGAATATTATTGTATAATTTTTTTTATGTGTGTGTGTGTGTGCAAGGGCGCTTTCAGTGAAAATTAATATTCATTATATACTACACAAATTTATCTGTAAATTAATATTAGCTGATAGGCTTCTAATGTATATCTGTGGAATAAAATTAGCTAATAGATTAGCTACTAATGTAAATCTATAAATTAATATCCACTGATAAACTACACATGTAAATTTATAACTTTTGTTATCTTCATCATAGGGATCCCAATTGTCTGCTGAGTATGTGGCTGAAGGACTGTCAACCACTGCACCAGATATGGAAGTCCTCACAATAGTTAAACGTCATGCTCAAAAGATTTTCCCAACTTTCTTGCAGAATCTCCAAGAAAAAGGTATATTGAATCCCCCACATTTTTTACTATATTGTAGAGTAGTTTTTCATTGAATCTTTACATCATGTCCATGATTTATTTATCAGTAGGTAACGAGGGGTAAAATCCCAGGTAATTGAATGGTATGTTTACAACAGTAAGAGTCAAAGAAAGTTTGGTTCTGGAGTTATGTGATGGAATGTAAGATCAGTCTCAAAATGGTCTAACTCTGGTTGAAAGTGGGTATAAGACAAGGATTGTATATATGCTGGAGAGTGAAGCAAGAAGGGAAAAATTTAAGTAAGATTTGAATGACTGCATTAAAAATTTCAGAATGATAAGTAGATTTATCAGTGAGAGACTTGAATATAAGAGTGGGCAAAAGGGAGTTGGACGAGACCGTTGGTAAATATGGAATACTGGGAATAAAGTAATCCTTGGTCAGTTTTCACCTGCTAAGACACTAGTATGCGAGAGTACAGTATATATTACAATATTATGGTGCCAGGGCCATGGTCTTTGTTTGCTGACTTGTGCAGGGGTTTGCTATTCCTATACTGTATGTCAGCCTTCAATCCCCTCCTTCTTTCCGCACTCACTCATCATGGACGTTTTGGGGGTGAGGCTCAGGGTTTTTTAGCCTCCCCAGCACATACATATTGTACAGGAGTACTCAGAAAAATTATAGAGATGGGGGATTTCTTCTGGGTTTGAGAGAATCTTCATTACCCGGAAATCTCTCATCCCTGTAAAAACTCTGCACCAATTGTTCCAACCAGTAATGGTGATATCACTACAAAAAATAATACTTTTAATAGTGCAGCACTGTAATTTATTTTCCAGTAATATTAATCATTTTGCTATTTAAAGGATCTTTTTCCAGTTCAGCCCTATACCCACCAATCTTTGTAGCAGGACCCTGTGTATAACTTTTCTGTGGTTGAATATGGTGCAGAAGCACTTAGCTCAACAAACGGTTAACCAAGCAGAATAAGTTTGACTATATTATCTGTAAGCTCTGCCTTTTATCCCTTTATCTTTAATCGTTCCTGGTGCCTAATTGTCTTAAAAATAAAATTGTCTTTTGTATGTGTTTCATTATTTCCTGGATGTACAAATTGTTTTTGTGGTTATTTATCTATAAAAATCATAGTAACTACCTGTACTACATATAGATGAAATGGCAGGCCTAATGTTGTGCCATGTCAGGGGTGAGGGAGCTTCAACTAATATTTGTAGATTTATAACAATCTTCAATACTATCCCATATCTTACAGGTTGGCTACCAGACAAACTGCATATGGCAGCTGCTGAATGGAGACTGTTATGAATAGTTGGGAGTTAAACATCATGAACTAAGACCAGTGTCGAGCTCTTCATCATGACGTGGACCAATGTTGCTATAGGTACTACAGTACGAGTTATATGAAAATTATATCTTCTTGATTAGTTAATGGGAAAACAATTAGTTATAGTTAACTAACACAGACATGAAAAATGGCTGTAAAACATTGGTTATGATATTATTTAATAAAACTTTGTACACACAGATTACAAATCTATTTTTCATAAACTTGATACACTGAAAGATTTTTTGGTTTTGTAGTTCATAGCACATGTTAGGTTTCCTTTGTTTTAATAAAGTTACATATTTACTGGGAATCTATCATTTAATCCCATTCCTATCCACTTGTTTTAGAAAATGCGCTGGAAAGTGATCAACTCCACAAGAATTATCTTTTTTCCTTTTTCACTTCTGTCAACTGTCTCATCTTGTTTCCAAGAATGGTAACTTGAGGTTTACTTGTGGTGACTACATTGTTCCCTGTATAAATAATTTCTACCAGAAAATTGATCAGCAATGGAAAAAAATCAACGAATAAATATTAGAGTGGAAAAACTTACTGTATAAGGCAAAAGGGTAACCAAGCTACAACTGACAGGATCAGAAATGCAATTTTTAAGAAAATTGGTAAAAAGACGTGACTTTCAGAAAACTTTACAAGGAAATTGCTGGTAACTTGAGGTTTACTTCCTATCTGTTGCTTGCCTCCACTCTGTCATTATTTCGGTATACTTCTTCCTTTAGTAAGGTCTTCTTATTTTTATCTTTCACAGTTCATCTTTATGTGCATTTCCCTGTAGCTGCCTCTTCATATTATTTATCTCTTTGCATTTCTTTTATTTAGTTTGTCTACATTCCTTTGCAATTTCCTTGTAAAGTTTTCTGAAAGTCACGTCTTTTTACCAATTTTCTTAAAAATTGCATTTCTGATCCTGTCAGTTGTAGCTTGGTTACCCTTTTGCCTTATACAGTAAGTTTTTCCACTCGAATATTAATTCGTTGATTTTTTTCCATTGCTGATCAATTTTCTGGTAGAAATTATTTAGATGAGACAATGTAGTCACCACAAGCATCTAATATGTCTTCCATAGGCACTTTTTTTTTGTCAATCTGAAGCAATTTTTTTCATGAATATTTTGAAATTTGAAATATGAATCAACCTTTTAATAACATGAATTTGACAATCTGCTTCATTTTGGACATGAACTAGAAAAGTAGAAAATTTGCGCATGTATGTACAAGCAAAGAAGCAGGGCTATGTAACTGTGGGGCAATCGGGTGCTTTTGAAGGGCAGGGCAGTGGTTCAGAGGGTCAGTGTGATATTCTAGAGGGACAGGACAGTGCTCTAGGAGTGGGGGCAGTACAGTTCTCTAGGAGAGGGTGCAGGACTGTCCTCAAAAGGGGCAGGACTGTCCTCTAGAGGGGCAGGACTGTGCTCTACTCTAGAGGGGCAGGACTGTGCTCTACTCTAGTGGGGCAGGACTGCTCTACTTTTAGAGGGGCAGGACAGTGCTCTACTCTAGAGGGGCAGGACAGTGCTCTACTCTAGTGGGGCAGGACTGCTCTACTTTTAGAGGGGCAGTGCAGTGCTCTACTCTAGAGGGGCAGTGCAGTGCTCTACTCTAGAGGGGCAGTGCAGTGCTCTACTCTAGAGGGGCAGGGCAGGACTGCTCTACTTTTAGAGGGCAGTGCAGTGCTCTCACTCTAGAGGGCAGGACAGTGCTCTACTTAGAGGGGCAGTGCAGTGCTCACTCTAGAGGGGCAGGACAGTGCTCTTTTGAGAGGGCAGGACTGCTTTAGAGGGGCAGGCAGTGTCAGTGCTCTACTCTAGAGGCAGGCAGTGACTGTCCTCTAGAGGGGCAGGACTGTGCTCTACTCTAGAGGGGCAGGACTGTGCTCTACTCTAGTGGGGCAGGACTGCTCTACTTTTAGAGGGGCAGTGCAGTGCTCTACTCTAGAGGGGCAGGACAGTGCTCTACTCTAGAGGGGCAGGACAGTGCTCTACTCTAGAGGGGCAGGACAGTGCTCTACTCTAGAGGGGCAGGACAGTGCTCTACTCGAGAGGGGCAGGACAGTGCTCTACTCGAGAGGGGCAGGACAGTGTTCTGTTCTAAAGGAGCAGGACAGTGTTCTGTTCTAAAGGAGCAGGACAGAGTACTCTAGAGGGGCAAAGTGCCAATGCTTTGTCCAGACACACGTGAACAGGGCGTTATTCAGTGTGACAATACCAAACATTACAAGTTTCTCCGGGCACTCCAGTTTCCCCTTGTACTAATACTGGGCAATTCAATAATTGAATGACTGCTAATAACAGAGAAAGTAAAATTAGCAGAAAATAATAGTTATCGTTAAAAAATCTCTAGGACACCAATGACCAATTATATTATTTCTGGCTTGTCCAATAGATATCGCCAGTGTAGGGGTCTTAAAATATAAAGGGAGTTTTAGTTCCTTACGTTATGATAGTCCTTGGTCATTAATAAACTGTAAAAAACGTTCTTTTATGCTTTATTAACAAGCTGTTCTGTTATATCTTACTTATATGAAATGTATGGACCAAGAGAAATGAATTAATAGAGGTGTGACCAACTGCCCCAAACGGCCTCTAGGGAACAGAAAGTTATGCCCACTATATTCCTTAGTTATACTTGTAAAATAAACTTGGTCTATGTACAGTAGCATAGAAAACGGGACCAAAATAAATGTCACTGTGTCAGGTCCTCGGCTGCAAAATCTTGTGTAAATTGAAAAAAAATCCTATATTAAGATGGCAGTAAGTTCAACACAGCAAACCATTAACTATGGGAGACATGTATGGCCTAATGGTAAGGATGTTAATGCTGGAAATGCTGGAAATGCTGCAGATGAAATACGTCGACAAAAGATTAACTCGGTGTGGACAGTTAGCATGGAAGAAATGCTGATTTACTTTGTGAAAGCCAACCCCCTGTTATGGGACCCCAAGCACCCACACTTCACCAAGCCAATGCTCAAGAGGAGGAAGGTTGATGATATTGCAGCTGTTATTCAAAGAGATTCTGCACCTAATGGGGAATTCACTCTTACTGGAGGTTTGTATAAGGTCAAGTGTGTCAGATTTACCTGTAGAGACACACACAATAATGCAGATGAGGTGAAAAGGTAAACACAGGTAGTGGCAGGTGAGAAATATTTTAGGTTTTTAAATTTAGGTTAGGTTAGGTTAGGCTGAAAATTTATTTTTCTGATATTTTTGATGTGTTTTGAACAACTTCCAAATAGGTGCATGACCGAACTGATAATTTTTCAGATTTTTTTTTTTAAAGAATATTTTGAGCTTTGAGACTAATGATGAATTAGTAATTAGAACTCCAGTGTAACCCTAGCTAAGATCATGAGCATTTGAGTTGGAAGTGGTGAAATTTGTTATGCAGTACAGACACAGCTTACAGTCATGCACATTGTTCAGTGAGGTTCTGTTTATAATATAGTAAGGAATTTGGCCATTGTAATCATTTATAAAGAGATCCTTAACTATTGCCTAAATATATTAGCTACAGTACTCATCTTACAGAAGATATTTGGAGAAAATATAGAAATATGCGGAACTTCTTCCTACGAGAAGTGAAGCGAACAAGTGAGAAGCGACGTGAGTCTGGAGATGATGAATATACCTCCAAATGGGTCCATTTCAACAGACTGCGGTACCTGTTAACTCCCTTGAAGCTCAAGCTCAATTCCAATCAACCAGATTTTTCCAGCAATGAGGTAAACTAAGTATTACACTTCACATGTTTCACAAATGTATAACAGAAGGAGTGCTTCAATTTATGAAAGTGATACATTCCTGAAAACCTTTCATAAATTGCAGAGGTGGTGAGGTAGCTATTCCACCATCATTCACCCAGTAACCCCACCTGCCACACCATCACCCTTAGCACCGACCACCTAATACGGATTAAATAAACTTGATACTGTACTTCTTTATTAATGTTATAATGATTAATACATATGCTTAGAAGTCTTATTTCCCACAAAAAATTGTTTTATAATGTTTTTTATGTTTGGGGGACTTTTTTCCCCCCTAGGAAGAGTCCAACTAATTACCCAAATGTAGCTGCAATGAAGTCAAATAATGGTTCTACATGAATAAATCGGACTGCCAATCACTTCTCAACTAGTATTTGGTGTCACAAAGTCAAAAAAAATTGGAAAACTTAATTTAATCAGGGTTAATAGATCGCGTGCATGTGCCGAGGGAGCGAGTAATTAGATATACATTAGATACTGTAGGTGAATTGTTACATTGATAAATACATATTGTTGTTAAGGAATGAGATTAAAATTAAAATTTATAGATATTTAATGTGAACATCATTGCAGATAGTAAATATATTTATATTTTTTTATGCTATATCTGTATTTTTTTTATTTTAGGTTGGAAACAGGTATTCATTCTTGAAAGAAGAAAGGCAGAATATTAGCACAGCTGTAAATGAGGAGAATACCAGGCTGCAACAGGACTGGAGGGAAGAAGTGAGAGTTGGTGGGGAATGGGAAAGTGTCCCTGAGCAAGTTGCCTCTACTTCCAATATGTCAGTCGGATCAACATCAACTTCTCAGCCTGTGCACGTGCCTGCCAGTACTGAACCCTGTGTACCACCAACAAATCAGAGAAAGCCAAAAAATCCTAGACTAATGAATTCTGACGATTTACAAAAGGCTGCTAAAGTTTTACAGAGCTTTGAGAAAGATCCAGGAGATGTTGCTGAAAGTTTTGGAACCTTTATTGCAACATCACTTCGGACTCTGTCAGAAGAAAGTCAGCACATTCTTATAGCAAAAATTACTCGGGTGATGGCAGAATTTCATTCAGAAAAATGAGAATGGCCCTAATATAATTCATATACTGTTCTGTAATTCATAGTCTTTCTACATGATAAAGTCTCTCTGAACCAGACACTGTCAACTGGACATATACAATGATTGCATTTGAAACCGTCCATTTTTTCCAAACATTCCTGCATTTTCAGTCATACTTGCCCCCCCTCCCCAAGTCTGAATTTATCTTGGAAGCTACACAGATTTTCTTACGGTTTGATTCTCCCCAAGGGCATATGACAATGCTGATTGGCTGTTATATGACTCTTCCAAGGACCCTAGGCTGTGATTGGCTCCTCTCCTCTCACTGTGACTTGGATCCTCTCTCCCCATCTAACCCCCAGTTCTTTTGTGTCCTGATGCCAAAATTTTGTGATGTGGTGACATTGCCTCATTTATTAATAAAATGTGCAAGAGATAAATATTTAACCATGCCTAAAGTGACAGCCAAACCTTTGGGGAGGATAGAGAAGAGAAAAACCATTGGTAATGAAACTAAAACTTGAAATAATGAAGATACTAGTGGTGACCTGGTGTGTAGTAGTGACATAACACTATTCAGATATTGCAGTGCTAATGGACCACTTCAAACTTTTGTTATGTTGTATTTATCTTCCACTCCACTTTCACTGTATGGAAGATTACATTGAAAATACATGAAAAAGTACAGTACAGTACGAGAGGTTTACTGTCCTGTACTTAATGTCCTTTATTTCCTTCTACACATTTCTGTCTCCATTATCCTATATTTTATTTTATATTTTGATGGTTATACAATTGGTTTATTGGAAAATTGCAAGAGTAACCAGAAAATATATTATTTTGTCTGGTTAAGAAAATGTTTTTAACTAAGAAGTCTTCCTTAACCAGATCGGCTGCCCCCTGATTTATTCAGATAAGAGACTTTATTGTGATTGAAAGCACTACGGTATTAGTTATAGCAGAAATCGTATGATATTGATATTACAGTATTTGATATGTGAAGGTTGACTTTTCATATATTTTTTGTACTGTATAACAGGGTTTTCTATTGTATTTAATGTTAATAAATTCCTACAGCAGTTTGTACAATGTGAATTTCAGGAATTTTTAAAGGAACTAAGCAATCATTAGGGCCAATTTTGTGTGTGTACAGGAATACCCCAGTTATCGCATGGGATGCGTTCCTAGAAGTCCCTGCGAATATCGGGGCACTTTTCCCCATAAGAATTATTGTAAATGGGGGTGGGGGGAGATGCATTCCCAGACGGCAACTTTTGCCACATACTGCATTTTTCAATATACACTCCTCAATATCTGAGGCCATTAGGACTAGGGTCACATGCATACTGTAGTACTGAACCAGGAAATGTGAGGAGTAATTAAAATTATACTAATAAATAAATAAATAAAAAATACTGCATTGCCAGTTAGCAATAGTTTCACTACACACGGGGGACGGGAGCGGCTGAGATCTCCAACAGTAATCCCTCCTCCCCCAATCTGTGGGCTAACTACTGCGCATGTAAGAAATGTTTATTGTTTATTCACTTTACGTTTTTGACCTTATGATAATTATTTCTTTTATTTTTTACATATTCTACATGAACGATTGTGTATGCATGTAACAGTAAAAAAAATAATATATATATACAGTATATGAAAATTGCATACGTATATCTACCCTAAATTACAAGTTGATTAATAACAATAACACCGCTAACAGTTTGATCCAGTAGGGGGAGGGCCAGGTCCCCGACACCACACCTCCCTCCCACTCCACTCTGCCTCTCTGTGCTGATAATTATCAGCATACTTACTGCTGTGGACATAAGAAATGTTTATTCTCTTTATATTTTTGACCTAACGATAGTCATTTCTTTTAATTTTATTTTTTCTTGCACATTCTTTATGAAGAACTGTGTGCATGTAAAAAAAAAAAAAAAACAACTACATATACAGGTACAGTATCTACTCAAAGTTACGCGGTTTGGAAGTACAGGTGTAGGGTAAGCGTCTCCCGCATGTGAATTTTCAGGCACGAGCTCCCTGTGAATGGTCCCATTGATCGTTAATTTCTAAACTGCACGGGTCAATACGCATTGAAAAATAAAATAAAATCACTCGTGTGAAGTGGGCCTTACATCAGAATATGAGAGCTGCATCTAGTTTGCCCTGTTAGATATATTTATGTAAGGTATCGTAATTTTTAATTTGCGAAGAATCGGGGTATGCTTTGAAAATATCGAAGAGGGGTGTTAAAATATCAATTGCGGATAAGTGGGGTTCCAAATAGCGAGGTATTCCTGTAGTTGTATGCAAATAAGCTAAATGTGTACTGTATGCTACCTCATTAATGTCATTATTATATTATTTATGGCCTGTGTGGCCTTACAAGTGACCTGAGATATACATCATTACTACTGACCCCTTCTAAACAGAGCTGGTCATTGCCCAGGGAGCTTTCAATTCATAACAGCAGAAAGGTACTGTCTGTATGGACAATATTACAGTAAGCTAGACACTGAGTGCACTTACACCATAATATTCAGATTCAAATTGGTGGTTATTTCAAACCTAGTAAGACATTAGGTCTAGCATTGTTAAATCACATTTCATAGCCATATGATATTCTCAGTCAAATCACTTGGTTCCTAGCTTATGACTGAATGTTGATTGCCTGGTTTTCTGAGGTCCAATGATTAATGTTGTCCATATATTATTTTTTAAATATTCATGAACAAGGTTTTTTTTTTTTTTGCTGCCATTTTCCATGTTGTGGATCATTGTATTTATAGTGGATATAGATTTCGTTTCCTGGACACTTTATGAATGAAATTAATATTTTGAGGATATATTAACCTTTTTGGATCCAATGTTTTTCAATACTTGAAGAGATTGTTTTTATTTTTTGTGAATTATCAAAAGAGAATACAGAAATCAGAAGTACAGTACAGTGATTTTCGGTTAACGTAATTTGATTAACGAACTGCCTTCCATAAGGATCTTCAATTCGGTTAACGAAAAAAAATTCGCTTAACGAATCTTACGAACCGACCTCAACATGTTTTCGCTTGCACTGACCGGGCAACCAGCTTTAGTATCAGTCCGCCAATACATTAATCGGTTCTAGGGCTTAAATTCCTTACTATTTTTGTAAATATCAAGAAGTTTATACTATTCAATAATTTTAAAAGTTTAATATTCAATTTTTTAGTCATTTTAACAATTATTGAACGAAATTGAAGGTAAAGTGACTAGTTTAATGCGCGGCATCCAGCCTCTTAACACAGCAAACAGGCGTCAGTCTCTCTCTGTTTTCACTGGAGGTAACATCTTGCTTGAGACTCTCTTCAACTAAATGCTTTTTGTCTGTGTTTCCAAGCAAATTATTGGTCATTTTGAAATATATTTTATATATTGACAATATATAATGCAGTGCAGCATTGATTTAAAGAAAATAATCTTGAATTAAACCAGAGAGCTAAAATTTTATGGGTGAAATGGCACCATGGGGTGACTTCTCTTCCACCCCAATGCCTTCTCTTCTTCCTTCTCCTCCACCCCCATTCTAAATCCCATCATCATCATCATCATCCAGGAGCCTTCTACATACACACCTCAAAGTAAGTGAACTTTTCTACCATTTTTGTTGAATTTAGGAAATGAGCTGGAACCAATACCCAAAAACCCATTGAAACAATGGAGAATACAGAAATCAGAAGTACAGTACTGTACTTAAATATGGTACAATACTATGATAATTCATTACCTAATTCCTATATACAGTGGGGTATGCTATAACGAATGGATTCTATTACGAATATTCCTATAACGAACGGTTTTACCTATAAAATTGAGAATGCTATAACGAACGAAACTCCTACAACAAAATTTTTTTTTCTTTTGTTTTTTTAATATTTTATTGTTTTTTTATTACAAGTATTAATTATATTCTTTATTTCAGGGGTTTAGATGCATATTTATGCACTTTTTTACAATTTTTTTCAATTTTATATTATATTTTTCAGTGTTAAGTGGTTGTATTTGGGGGCCTGGAACGGATTAATCCTATAATGAACGAATGCTATAACGAACAAGGTTCTAGAACCAATTAGATTTGTTATAGCATACCCCACTGTATTAGTCTTTATACCCCTGGAAAGAGCCTTTTAATCCTTATTCCTGGTAGTTAAGTTAAGAAAACCTTATTTACATCTGATAATAGCTCTTAATCTAAGTTTATTCAATAAACATGTTCATGTTAGGATCATCCAAACCTTTTCCAGTTTCAAGGAGCAAGGGAGACCTCTTGGGTAAAATGATCAATCCAGTTGTCTAATTTTGTTTTTCTTTTGTGTCATTGTTGTGCTTTCTAGCTTGGAATTCATCTGGAACATAATGATGATCAACTTTTACTTTGAGCTGGCTTAAATCACTTGGTCACTTCTTAGGACATCATCCATAAATGGATGATTGAAATACCAGATTCCATTTGATGGTCATGGGATGAATAAAGTGACTGAATTCCCTACTTCCTTCTTAAAATGAAGTACAGCACATAATTAATAGAAAAATAAGAGTGATTGGGTACTGAATTCTGTATGACTGGGTTTGGATTCAAAATGTAGTGAATCCAAGTATTGGAATATTATGACCAGGTACCTCATGGATTAAACTGGGAGTGAAGCTTGTTAAGCATCCAGTTTACAGCCAATCAGTGTCCATACTGACAGTGCTTTCCTATGACTAGGCACTGCATGTTCCCTGGGCAAAGGCACGCTCTGCCTGAGGGCACTGAGCAGTACAGTACAGTACAGTAGTATATCTTGCAAGGTTGAGTTCTTTCAGCAGTGAAATGGGATTTCAAGCTTTTGTCCTCTATTTTATGAATATTATTGTTCCTTAATATATTTCTTTGTATATAAACTGAATTATTCTGTATTTATGGTATAATTATATACTGTGCCCTGATTAGTGTTGTGTTATGTACTGTATTTTCAAATTAATTCTAAGTGAGTAGATGAAGATTGATTTCCATTACATTTGTCCTTGAATTCATTATGTAAAACAAAGTTGTTTTGAAAGCATTAATTCCCTTGTAATAGACTGAAATTACTCGGCGAGTGTACAGTGCTTTCTCTCTTACGATTAAACTAATGCAGTGCATCTCTGTCTTTTTATTAGCATGAACAGATTTGTTTTTATTGTAGCTTTTTATGTACATTTAGTATAATAATTCCCATACATCTAATGAATATACCAATCCATGAATACCTTTCATGAGCAGTATAGTATACTGTACAGTGGTCCCTCAGTTAATGAGCGCCTCGGTTAACGAGATTTCGGTTAACGAGTTACCTTCCATAAGATTCTTAACTTCAGTTAACGAGCAATCCCTCGATTAACGAGTTTCTTATGAGCCAACCTGAACATGATTTCGCTTGCATTTGGCGGTCCACCAGCTGTAGTATTAGTCCACCAATACAGTAATCAGGTTCTAGGGCTTAAATTCCTTACCATTTTAGCAAATATCAAGAAGTTTATGCTATTCAATAATTTTAAAAGTTTAATATTAAATTTTTTACTCATTTTAACAATTATTGAACATAATTGAAGGTAATGAAACTAGTTTTATGCGTGCCATCCAGCCTCTCAACACACCATACAGGCGTCAGTCTTTGTATCTTTTCAGTGGAGGTAACATCTTGCTTGAGATTCTCTTCAACTAAATGCTTTTTTCTGTTTTTGCAAGCAAATTATTGGTCATTTTGAAATTTATTTTACATATTGACAATATATAATGCAGTGCAGTGTTGATTTAAAGAAAATAATCTTGAATTGCACCAAGAGAACTAAAATTTTATGGGTGAAAT